AGGTCACTTTGTACAGATACGCACTGAGAAACTAATTTCTGGATCTAGCACAAATGTCAAAGTCATTCCTCAGTCATGCTGACAAATTGGCAAATCCAACAGATTGATGCCTGAGTCAAAATTTTGAACAAGTTCTCTAACTCCAGTTTAGCCAATTTTGTGTACGGCTACCTGACGTGCTGACCAATCAGAGCAGAGAAAGACCACACAAGATCTTGAAGCCCTTGGCTAGCCTTCATTTACTATCAAAATCATCCTGTGAAAGTTTGGCTAAAGCTGTGAAAAGATTCCAATGTGATGCCGATTGGAATGAAGACAAAGTTGACACAGCAAGTGAAAAGCTGACATCGAAGCAATTGGAGATTACACTATCAAGCTTGTCAGCTATTCAGAAACGTGAGGCGAAGTTCTTTGAATAGTTCAATGAACAGACATTCTCTCCTGCAAAACAGGATGAGAAAACGCGTGCCTACACAAACATTCAAAAACTCTACTAACATGGTTCAACATAGCCCTTGCAGGGAACATTCCCATCTCTGATCATATCCTGAATTTAAAAAGGGAGTTATCCATGCAAAGAGGTTTGGCCAAAGTGTTCACCCGCAGCTACAGAATTGAAACCAATTCAAGACGTGACACATTGTCTGCCACATAGTAATTAGGAAAGTGCAGTGGCTGCAGTCGCAATGGCACATTATGGATCTCATCCAAATCCTGAGGAAATATTCACAAGACATTTTTAACATGAAAAAAAACTCAATCATCGAATCCCTACAGTGTGGAAGCAGGCCCTTCGGCCCAACAAGTCCACACCGACCCTTGGAGCATCCCACCAAGACCAATCCCCTTATAACCCACCTAAGCTACACATCAGAGCACTACGGACAATTTAGCTTGGCCAATCCGCCTAACCTGCACATCTTTGGACTGTGGGAAGAAACCCACGCAGACACAGGGAAGAACGTGCAAACTCCATACAGAGTCGCCCGGGGATGGAATCAAACTTGGGTCCCTGGCGCTGAGAGGCAGCAGTGCCGGTGGCTCAGTGGTTGGCAAAGCTACCCACTGTAGTGTCTTTTGCTAGACCCCTCTGATGTTAAAAAGGTACAACCTGAAGGTTGGAAGGCAGAGAAAGGAACATATCACTGCTCTACAAAAACACGTCACCAAAAATTATGCCTCTTGTTACAAGAGAGTCGAAGCTACTCCATTTTGTCAATGTCAATATATTATACCCTGACAGTACAACATGAACACAACCAGCATTTGAAGCACAAATGTATCAATGAAAGATCGTCAATACAGACAACCAGGTAAATCCTTATATATTTGACCTTGCAAGCTGATGTCTTGATTCCCACTACCACACCAATGGATCAGGTAGTGATTAGGAACCTCAAAATTCAATACGAACTGCAGCTGATCTTGCAGATTATCAAACCCATTGATAAGATGTGCAACGTGACTGATTTAAAGGCCAAGTTCATGACGAAGCAGCCATGGAAGATGGTGATGAAAGCCACAATTGCCAAATACTTCCACCAAGTTCGAATAGCCATGACTTGCGCATGAGGCAAAGAAACAGGGTTGGTCAGCTAACCCGATAACGAAGCTCTTTTTGTTCTCCTGTGGGAGGCTAGCATGTAAAATCCAGCACAGAGAACTATGGAACAACACTCTGCTACATCAGTTGCCTCATCTGTGAGGCTAGTTAAGATACAGAAACTTATTCAACAAAGGAGCTCCGATGCCCTGAGAAACCAGATGCATGCCTGCCACTTGCCTGCTGTTTCCCAAGCCAAAGGCATAAACATGATTCAGATGCATCAGGATTTCACACCAAAGTATGAAAACATGTTGTCATTGCAGTGAAACATGGTGTACCTTAATGCACGCATCCAAAAAGAGCATAATTTGGAAAATAAAACTAGTGAGGTTTTGGTTTAGGTCTTTGTTCCATTTGCTTCCAGCTTACAAAGACTTTTATTTTTAAACATATTTATTGTTTTATTTCAGCCTGCACACCCATGGCCATTTATCAATTGACAGCCTTTTTTAAAAAAACTCTCGTGTTTCAGAAGCAGTCCATTAAATCCTTCCCAATATCTCTGTTTGCAGAGCCCACATGACAACAACATTCCCAGCCTACTCTCTCCCACCACTACCACACAAAACAATCTCTCCGATGTCTCCAAAAGCTCAGGATGTTTTCTCACCCGCTTCCACCAGACATTGCTACTAAGTTTCAGTATCTGTTTCTCAGTGATCTGAAACAACAGCCAGTCTTCTCTATACCCTCAACTGACAACACTCTTGGTTCTTCCAAACCCTAGCGCTTACTTCCAATATCATGCATCATGATACTCCATGCCCACTTGTGAGCACCAGCTTCTCAATTCAGATGACCCCCAACTCTACACAGCCAAAGATGTGCAGCTTAGGTGGATTGGCCATGCTAAATTTCCCACAGTGGACAGGGACGTGCAGGTTAGGTGATTTAGCCGTGGGGAATGGAGGGGTACAGGGATAGAGTAGGGGATGCTCTTTGGAGCCGATTGGCCTGCTTCCACACTACAGGGATTTTATGATTTTATGCATTAAAAATCCAACAATGTAGCCTCAAGCATCCACTCCTTAGTATCTGACCATACCAAGATTGCTTCACTAGAGCATTAGGTAGTCAGGTGTTGACCTTATAGAAATTCACAAAATCATGAGGAGTACAGATAGGGTTAATGGAAGGTGTCTTTTCTCTAAGACAGGGGAGTTCAAGACGAGGGGGCACTTAAGGTGAGAGGAAAGAGATTCAATAAAGACGTGACGGCCAAGTTTTTTTTTAAAAACACAGAGGGCAGTTCTCATGTGGAATAAACTTCCAAAGGAAGTGGGCACAATCACAACATTTAAAAGACACTTAAATAAGGACATGAACAGGAAAGGTTTGGAAGGATATTGAATAGGAGCAGGTAGGTGGGAGTATTTAGTTTGGGATTACGTTCAGTCGGGACTGGTTGGACTGAAGGGTCTGCTTCCGTGCTGTCTGACTCCATGTTAAACTGAAGTAATGTTAATTTCTAAGCAGAATGTAGAATTTTACACAGCATAAGTTACAAAACTCGAATCACTATCAAGATTACAGTTCATCACAAAATTATCCCCAAGACAACTTATGCCACTTAGGATTTTAACTGCAATCGACTTTACAGAATACTTTTAAAGATGGCTAGAGTAATTTACCCAGATTACGTTATTAGTTGTCAAAATATGACCACTGGGTATACCATATCTAGTGTTAAACCTATGTCAGTGACTGTTTCACAGTATTCTCTTTGTGAAACACTAATGTTGGATAACTTGACAAAAAACATTTTATGAAGTTTTTTTAAACTCATACAAAGCCAACTGCAGGTAAAAATTTAGGGATTCCATTTTACCGTTCAAAATTACAATCCTGCTAAGCTTAGGGATGGATTTTAAAAATGTAATGCAGGTCATGGTTAATTTGCTGCCAAAAAAATGGGAATGACAATAACGGATATTCAGTGCTGTTTTCACAACAAGTGAGTTTACTAAAATGGGTGAACATAATTTTTGCACCGCAGAATTCACTTGAAAACATTGCTGAGGTTGCAACTTGCATGAAACTGTGTTGTACAGGACAGATGTGAACACAAGGGAAACTAAATAACAAGAAAATTCAAATGAACAGAATGCAGCCAGAATTGCCAACTTGTAGCAACGGTGTGAAGAAGTAGGAAATAAGTATGTGCTATTACTTTGGGGGAAGAAAAACCCACAAAAACTTCTGAAATCAAATCAGTGCTTAAACATAATGGTATCCTTATGTGAAGTAGATTTGTTTTACGAACAATTTATTTTGATATGGGGAGACACACTGGCAACACTGATTTATTTGAAGTTCTAATAATTTTCATTACAAAATAATGTTTTGACAAGATCATGCTTAAGATAAGCACACAATTAAACGTTTATATCCAAAGTGGCAAGGCAACACAATAAAATTGCCCCTTCCATATGCTGACTATCTTTGGAAGCAAAATTCTTTAACTTAAACTTTTAGAAGTTCACCTGTGGCATCTGCTAGAAAGGCAAGAATTTGTTTCCCAGTCCTAACTGTCCTTGAGCATTGGTGGTGGACAATCATCCTTAACGAATGTCATCTGTGTGTAGGTACACCAACGGTGGATGCTGTTATAAGGATGCCAATCAAGCCATCGTCATCCTGCAAAGTGATGGTGGGTACGTGCGAGTTTTTTGGGGGGTTGGTTTTAACCAAGTCAGACCTCACCTTGAGCCTTGGAGACCACAGGTGGGTTGTCAGGAGTCAGAAACAAGTTATCCACTGCAGAATGTACAGCCTTTGATCTGCACTTGTAGGTATTAGGTTTACATGGTTGATCTATTGTTTCATCTCCCTCCAACCCTGGCACCCCCACAACTATTGTTACTTGCACCTATTCAGCAATACAATTTTAGTAAAAAACAAAAGATATGCAAAAAATGCCAAGAACCTTCAGAGGTGAGCCTAATTTATTTATCCCTGTTGCAAATTTATTTGCTTTTTTGATGTCCAGACAAACAAAGTTGATTTCTACCCATCCCCCATTCCTGCACTGTTCAGTACACATGCTGTCTACTTTGACATTGTGCCTGAGTATTAATGCTAGCAGTGGAAGAGAAAAGTTAGTGATGGCTGCAGTTGGTTTGCAAAATAGGAGAGTAAAAGTTCCATTTTCACATTCATCCCAAGTAACTACTGCTAAGAAAATTAACCACTGGATATATATAGGCTGCAAAAGCACACAGAGAATGTTTCATTTTAATTTCAAAGAATCACAATAGTTGGATAGTGTAGAAAAATGACAAAAACCCAAAGACTATTTTGATTTTAATATATGAAAACAGCATTAAAATCTAAATCTTATCTAAAAGAACCTCGTGCAGGAATTATTCATTATGGAGGCATAAGGCAGACTTACCCTTGATGATTCATATGATGGACTTGCTTGATCAGCTGATCCCCAAGTTGTACCTGCCCGTTCTTCCACGACTATTAAAAGAAAATGCGTTATTACTGAGATGAAGACAAGTCTCACAACGTGTTTATCACTTCAGTGTTTTGTTATTACATTATCCACACCCCAACAAGAATTTCCTTCTTTAAAAGTTCTGAATTAGGTAAGATCTCACTATCAAATTGCTGAAAATATTTTTTGTACACAAGCTAGAAAAATGATAGTACTAACCACTGAACAACTTTTTTCAAAATTTATAGAATGAAACATTGCTATGTACCACTAATTAGTATCAAGTTATTTTCCATTTTTCCCTAAACATTTGTGCTTCAATTCACAAGACGCAGTTTTCAAATTCTATTGTCTGGGATGACTGTCAAAAGTAAACAAATTACTGCCTTAAAATGACCACAATAATCAGCTGACCCACACAGTTTAGCCAAGTTTCATTAAATCAACATGGAAGAAAATAGTCTGAACCAAAATTAACATTTTTGTCCCAAGACATTTAACTAGTCGGGCATGAAGAGAACCTTCATTTCCCAGTTTCATTTACATCTGTTTGATAACTTTCACATCAGAGATGAATGACATCACATACAATCAATCAAACTCAGAAACAAGGAACAGATATTAGACTACACAAACAAGGTATATTTCAGGGAGCTACTTTCGTCAAAGCAGGCAAGATGGATTTGTGACTGGAACTAACTGAAGAAGCTCTCTCAGCAACAGAACTGATTACAACTTAATATCAGCACACCAAGACAACACAAATATTTGCTACTGCCTAAGTACCCAAGCCATCGATTAAACCAATGTGATCACAGGTTAAAACCTTTATGCCTCAAGGACACTCAAGACTCAAAACCGTATTTTGATTACATCTTCTTTTGGAGTTAGACATTATCTTTTAAACATATACTTGCGTGCATGTATGCTGACATGCATAAACTTCCTTATCAAGTTAGCAGATGGTAAAGTTATTCTTTCACTCAAAGAAACCTTGTCATTGACTCCTAATTGTTTCTGGTTAACCAGTTACACTTTAATTGGAGAGAGGCGTAGCATCGTGCTAAAAAGAGCATAAATCTATGTCTTCACCCATTCACTTGCCAAGAGGGTGCAAGCACCAGGAAATCAACCATTTTTCTATTTTGACAAAATACCAAAACCAAGTATTTCTAATTTACAATGAAGTGAAATCACTCAGTTATGTTCCAACCACACATCTCGACGGTGCCCATGGTTCCTCCTTCCTTCAAGCCCCAAAATGAAAGCACACATTAGTAAATACCAAATTAGACACAATTGCATTTGCCCCAAGGGATATTTCTGATGCTTTCTGACTCATCTCATAAGGGATACAAGTGAGTAGAGGAGAGATCATCCTGTTGACGAAGACGTAAATCCAGATCTCAGAATTCAAACACAGCTCTCGCCTAACACGCCACTCAGTGCACTGACAAAAGCACTGAGTGTCTTGAATGACCACTTCCACTTAAAACTCTGCACTACTTGACTTCAGCACAAGCTTACATTGAACTGGCAACTATAACTTCTGTAATGAAATGAAACACTTGGATAATAGTAGAAAAACATAAGACAAATTGTAAATAAATGGTGCCCTCAATTTTTCAAATTTTTTTCATGTTATTCTAATGTAGTCTTTTCCTGACGATTGCAATAATTACTGCTTTATGGATCCACAGACTATTGCTCATTTCTTCATCCATTTCAGCCTTGTGAGCACCAAAGTAATTCAATCACAAGCACTTATAAAGGCTAATCCTAAATTTCTTCTCGTCAATATTTCCAGTACTTGCTAGATCAAAAAAAAACTTCTGCTTTCCAGTGACACCATTTAGATCCCAAAAGACAAAGGCCATACATCACAGGATTCTGCCCCAAAAGCAATGTATTTGCCAATGAATTTTGTTGGATGAGCAGGCAAAACATCATACGTCTACACAAAAGATTAATGTCAATACTCAAGTAGGTCATTTCATTGCAAACAGAAGCACCCAGTCATAACTGTACCAGCACAATGGGCAGCATACAACGAAAAAAATCAAATCTAAGTATAGAGAAAGAATATACTTAAATATTTGAGGGACAAAAAAAAAAGTGGCACCACACCAATCTCTTGAAGAAAATATTCTGGTAAAAGCAAAGCCACAGACAGGCCCATAGGATATTCAAATGATACTGTGGTATGTTACTCACTTAGATAAAGTATAGAAGATGGACATACTCCTTAGGATCTATTGAAGGAGAACTTGCAGTTTCTTCACGACTGCTGGCTGACCTAGACTCAAGTTTAGATATTTGCAATACAGATTGTGTATCGGTACTTTAAAAATTATCCAAACTGGGAACATGTGGCTAATAACAAATCATACCAGAGGGTTGCACTGGGAAGTTAAAAGCTGAGCGGGTGGTGATTGAGGTAAACAAATTAGAAAACAAAAAGCAAGATCTATGAACCTTCAAGACCTAATACTGCATGGCTTCATCATCTAGTCCTATGGTTGCACCTGAACTATCCGATGCCAGGTGTTTAATTCAAGGATCAGATTCTTGTGTCTAACAATCCTCACACAAAGGCTAAGTAACTGAGCTTCTTTGGCACTTTTACTGTCATTTTTCACGAAAGAGTTAGTTGGAGGGCAACATGAATGTGTTGAAAACCCAAGATTTTTAAGATATTAATACTTCATAAAAAGAATAAAAGTATTAGCAATGAATAACCATGTTTTAAATTTTTATACAGTTCTATATCAAGCAACATCCAATCTGCCAGCAGGGAAATCTGGAAATATCTCCAAGGTCTGTAAATACCATTAGCTCCAATTACCATTGTAAAATGTCTTGACTTAAAAAGATCACTTACAAAAAAAAATTATGAGCCCAGGGATACTCTAAGTAAAAGCTTTTCTATTTAGCTTAGAAAATAAAAGGATTGGATTTTGCACTGAGCGTGTGGTTATCCCCAACTTCATTCCCATTCAGTTTCTCAATTAAAAAGGATAGATTCCAATACTTGACAAGATAGCCAACCTTTAATAATTGCCTCAAGCACACAATAAGCAATGCTGGCCCCACAAGTGTGGAATATTTTTCAAATGCAATTGATTATTGATGTTGTGTTGCATATTGTGCAATATGCGGGGTTTTGCAAACATGGAGAACACCTTTAAATTTTCCTTTGCAGATAATCAGGTCATTTAACCTAGAGGATGTTGCCAAAATATTGGAAAGATACATATCGGACCTTCTGAAATTTATTTGGGAACGCACTTCAGTTTGTCCCTCCACCTGAAATTGGATATCTCAATTTAAGTATCAGTGACAGCATGCCACATTATTATCAGTCATCAGCAACAGATATTTTTTTACTACAACTCATTCTCAAATTGATAATGTTATAAGCATTTTCACTTACTGTGTCAATGACTGAGTAAACCTCAATAAGAACTGCGATAAGCTGTTAAAATAATATTTCTGAGCATTAATGCTGCCAACTGAAAAGTACTTGAAGCCATGTACACTTTGGGATATGGGAGTAGAGTTGATCTACAATGAAAAGTGCATGGTTGAACACTGTAAAGATGTATCACATCCCAGGTTAATCTCATGCTAAACTTGACTTGGCTAACATGCAGTTCACAAGTGTTCAGTACTCCTCCGGGTTACACACAGTAGGAGACCACGTATGTTAAAAACCCATTACTACAGACAGGGTTCGACCTCAGGCAGCTGGAAGCACAGCTGTAGTTCACTGAACTACACTGCAGAAACAAATCTACAGTCCTAGTTAAGATTTGTGCAAGTGTGATGCAACAAAATGATTTAGACTCAAATGCCTGCATTTTGCTGCATTAACAAATGATGCAATAGCACAGCTAACCCACAGTGCAGGTTACATTGGTATCTTAATTGGAAAGAAAATATGAAAAACGTTGCAGGTACAATTCATTTTGAATCCCACTATGCAGGGTTCCCACATCAGCAGAATAGAAAGAAAAAAATTCCAAATCAAATAATAACAACTCCCTTGCTGAGGATAGTCTTCTGTGTTTATTCATTGTACATATGCTACATAAATAATATTTGGATACTTGAAAGTTATTTTTAGCCACCCATGAACTGCAGCTACTCAACAATCAACGTCACTATTTGAGAATTATTTCGGGATGGCTTTCATCACATACATATGAAACATCACACTAGGCTAAAACTGTCTGTATACGCAAGCAGAACATCAATGCAAACAAAATTTTGCGACAAAACATTTTTTAAAAGGGGCAACTGCAAGAGTTTCTAATTCACAGGATGAAATGGAAGTTTTTTTTTAAAAAATCACCATTGCTCCTTGCTTCTGTAATTAATTCAGTGGAGAAGGATCGGCTAGAGAATTACGCTGCATAAGTTTTTCATTTAGAAACTTTGAAATGTAGAAACACAATTCCAATTTATAAAAAGTTGGAATTAAAATCAAAAATCAAAAGTATAAATGACAAAATTTGCACAACCAAAAATCAAAGCAAGTTTGTCAAGATTTCTACAAGTAATTTCATTAATAATTCACAAACGAAACCAACAGCACATTTCTTTTCAAAAGCAATGCTGACCATCTGTCTTAGATGATTCTTAGATTTTATCAGTAATATTAGATTTCTGATGATCATGGAAAAGCATACAGTTGTGGCAAGCAAGTGCTGCAATTGTCTAACTACATTCGAACAAGTATGGCTCTGGATTAATTAAGATCAATTTTTCTCAATAGATTTTCCACAAAGATGTTTCACTGAGATGGTCCTGTAGTTTCAGTAAATTATACAATTCCAATCAGAACATTGCTGGGCTCCAAGGTCCTGTTCAATTATTACAGCACTCGTAAGTAATCTACAGATGATACTAATATTTCAAAACAGAATTTGAACCACACAAAATTACCCAAAAATAATAACACTACAATCTGGCTCTACATTAAACCATTTGCAGAGCTGAGATTTGAGGATTCTTTTCAAAA